TCAGCGGGAAGCCTGCTTCTCCCTCTCCCACTCCCCCTGCTTGTGTTCCCTCTCTCACTGTGTCTCTCTCTGTCAAATAAATAAAATAAAATCTTTTTTAAAAAGTTTTAAAAAAAGAATCAACAGTGTTATTATTTCCACTTCTATTTTTTTATTTTTTAAGATTTATTTATTTGGGGGGGAGAGAGAAAGAGAGACTTTGTGTGAGTGGAGGGGAGGGGCAGAGGGAGAGGGAGAATCTCAAGCAGACTCCCCGCTGAGCACAGAGCTGACGTGGTGCTTGATCCCATGACCCTGAGATCATGACCTGAGCGGAAACCAAGAGTCAGATGCTTAACCAACTGAGCCACTCAGGCACCCCTATTTCCACTTTTAATGAGATACAACTGTTTCCATCACTGATAAAGATTTTACGTTGTTGGGGGACGATTGTTGGGGGAAGATAGTTAAGGGAGAGGCCACGATTCTGTCCCCTAAAATATCTACTTTGACTCTAGGGGTTCCTGGGGGCAGGAGAATGGATTGGAGGAGAAGAGGTTATAGCCAAGCTTTCTGGCTTCATCTTCACCCAGAATTGTCCAACCATTAGAAGAAAAAAGACCCCAGAGCCCCCTCCCCAACTGTCACACCCTCATTAGGGAATAGACAGCTATAGAATTCTACAAAAATATAAAAGCTTTATCTGCAGACCCAGGTGGACAAAACTCTAGGAATTTTGTTCAGTTTTGCTTTTTTTTTTTTTTTTAAAGGCAGCTCCTACAAGCACCCGCCCCCACCCAAGGAGGCCAGAGGAAAAAGAGTTCCACGCTATTGCACACCCCAAGAGGATAAAGCCAGGTGTTTGCTTCAAGAAGAAGTATATTTCTGTCCAGAAGAGCAATTAGAAAAACTTTCACCAGCTTAGAAAACAGGATGGGACCAAGCCTCCGGGTCCATCTGCCCTGCAGCCTGGCACCCCCCCATCCCAGGCTCATCCTAAGTTCAGAGAGAGGCTGATGGGGGGCTGGCCAGCCCACTAGAGCTGCCTTTGAGGTTTCAAGGGTCGTGGGGTTTGAAGGTGCTGGAGATGAGGGGGTAGGGATGTTCAAAGGAGTGGGGTCGGGGTGGACGTTTGGGGTGGCTGGCAGGAGAGAGGCTGACTGAGCCTGTGGTACTGCGTCTTGGCCCCGGGGTTTCAGACAAGAGAGTATCCCCAAGGTAGCACCAGAAGGGAGGTTCTGGGCCACACCAATGGCCCCTCCCCCTCCCCCCATCCTCCTCCTCCTTCTCCTCCTCCTCTTCCTCCTCGCTGCCCTCCCGCCCTCCCTCACCGCCTTCACCCCCTTCCTCCTCCTCCGGCTCCCACTGGGCAGGCAGCAGCAGACCATGTAAACACCTTGATGGAGCTCATTCATCTCCCCCCAGGGGGCCGGCTCCACACTGCGCAGCCCGCTGCTGGCCAGACCGACTCCACCGGGAGGTCGCCTTTGGACTGGGGGGCGGGGGGGGGCGGGGCTCGGTCTCGGGAGCGAGCAGCCTGCTCTGTTTGTGCAGCTTCATCCCATGGCCAGCTTGACGGAGCAGTGCCCACAGCACTGGTCAGCAGGACCCCCAAGGCGGGAGGCCAAAGCCCAGCCGTCCCAGGTCACGGGGGCTGAAGGCTGGGGAAGGAAAACCCAGAAGCGCTGCCCCCCCCAGCAGCCCACAGATCCCCTCGGCAGCAGCTGAGGCTGCCTCCCCCGGTCTCCGTCGGCCCCATTAACCAAAACAGCTTCATTATGCCAATTTCCAGCTTTCAATGTGCGGCTGATAGCTGTCAGCAGAAATAAGAGTTAATCTGGAATTACTCACATTCACAGAGCTGCCTGGCGCGGAGGAAGCGAGAAAGCTTTGGTAGAAGCAGTAGACCCTGCTGGCCTAGCCTTCCAACTCCGCCTTTCCCGCAAGGTGGCAGCCCTCCCGGGAGAGGGTTATGTTTTCTCTCCCCCAGACAGACAGACAGACACGCACGCGCACACACTCATGCACACAGAGGCAGCTCCGACCCACTCCCTGCCCGCTGCCCACTCCCCAGCTCCAGGGACGGTCTTTCTCCAGTGCCCCCTGGAAATGCCTAACTCTGTCCCTTTTGCTTTTACTCTGGACCGGGATTAACTTTTTATTTTGGAAAATTACTTTATTATAGATATAGATATAGATATGTATGTATGTATATATATAAAAAGGTTCCATTTCATTTGTAAAATCTTATTTTTCTCTTTTTCTCTTTTTTTTCCTACAGAAAATGATGGCAAGGTTAAAGGAGAAAATAAGTTACATTACAGTTTCCAAAGTGGTTCTCACTCTCCGCTGAAGATGGGCCACCGGCAGGGCTGAAATGCACTCTCGGTCCCAGCTTGTGCTTTGCAAGAAGAGGGAATATAACTAGACTGGTTATTTTAGGTTAAAATAGCCAAGAGACAGACGCCTTCGCCTCAAAAATATTCTGAGACACATACAAGTAGAAGGAAACAAGTCTCTTCAGTCACAAAATGTCGTACATCCCGCATATACTAGATTCAATTAATTTAATAAAATAGAATATACATAGAGATTCTGCACAAACGTATTGCTTTCTCCCAGTAGCTCCTGGTGTTGGGAACCTCAGCTGCACTGGGCCTCTCTCTCTCTGCCTGGGTCCAGGGTGGCCAGGCCGCTGCTCTGAACGTTCTGGAAATTCTGCTTGTCGGTTCCCAGCGCCACTGAGGCGGGGAGGAGCGCCTCCTTGGAGTCCATATGGAACGTTTTTCAGGAGCATAGCCCAGGAGGAGGAGCTAGGATTTGGCACCCAGTGGAGAAAGGTGAGTGGGGGAGTGGGGTAGGACTCAGGGCTCCAGGTCTGCTGGGTCAGAGGCTAAACCGGAGAGACTCAGCACGTCTTTCTTTGGGGGGGGCGAGGCAGCCATGCTGTCAGGGGGGCCGGAGGCCGAGGGATCCTTGGAGTCGCTGGACGGAGCCCTCCGCCGGAGGCAGACGCCGGGGCTGGGCGGGGGCCGAGGGCCCTGACTCTCTGGGGGGTCTATGGAGATACTAGGTGGGCTGAGTTTTTTCTTGGGCCGGCTTCCAGGCCCCCCAAGAGGCTGGCCCCCAAGGCTAGAGGGGTCAGGGCCCAGGCCGGGTTGGGAGGCGCTGTCCAGGCAGCTGACCGCAATGGAGTGCCTTCTCTGTTCATCCAGCCAGGACGCAGGCCTGCGCCGGCAGCTCCGGCCCTCCACGCTGTAACACTTCTTCAGGTCCCGTGCGCACGGGGGCTCCTCCTGGCTGTCCACGGTCAGGAGGTCTCCTGAAATCCAGCTCAGCTCCGTGTCCAGCTCTAAGCTGCTTCTGGTCTCCGGGGGGCCTTTGCTCCAAGTGGGTTCTGAGCCTGGGCAGGGGGCCGGCGGGGGCCTGTGCTTCGAGATCGTGCTCTGACGGAGGGGATGCTGCTGCGCCTGGGTGCCCAGGTGGCCCCAGAAGGAGGAGGCGCGGACCAGAGGCGGGGAGGGCCCACTCACCTCGGACAGCAGGTCTTCCCGGCTGCCCAGGCCCTGCACGTCCAGGGAATCAGTCCTTATTGCTGCCTGTGTGAGATAGGAGGAGCGCTCAGCCCAGGGGCTTCCACCGAACCCCTCCGGGGACTGTCTTCCAACCATGTCCCCCGCCCCCCATCCCCGTCAAGCCAGATAACCCCGTCCTCCCCCTGCAGGTCCATCCTAGGCAGGAGGGTCAGTGTTTGGTCTTGTTTGGAGACGGGGGCCATGTGCAGCCTGCTCCCCCCACCCCCCGTCCTTCCCCCACGCCGGCAGGAGTGGCTCTCAGGAGCTCCCAGCCCCTGGGACACAAGAAAGCACTGGGCCAGCTCTGCTCCCAGCCCTTTGCACAGGCTATTTCTTTGGCCTTGAAAACCCTTCTCGAATGACAAGCACCCCTCAACTTTATGGGCTCGGGTTCCCTGTGACACAGAGCCTGACAACCTCTACCCCCACGTGAGAAGTAACCCCTCCCTCCTCTTTGCTCCCCGCTGCACCCCACACATGCACATCCCAGCAGCCGCGTCTTATTGCCGCAGTGGTCTGATGGCATTTCTGTCTCTGGTTAGCCCGTGAGCTCCACGGGGCAGGGGCTGCCTCCCCCGTGCCCGGCACACAGAAGCTCTTTGTGAATCTCTGGGAAACGGATGAGGACCGGGCCTGCGTCCTCAAGTGTGCGGCGTTGAGCAGATTCTCATGTGGCCATGATCACACGTAAGGGCACACGGGGCGCGGGCTGTGGTCCTGTCACTGTGGGGACAGATAAGCCTCCCCTGGCTGCCTGAGCCTCAGCTCTGCGCCCCTGGAAGGTGGGCCCCGGGCTTGGCCAAAGGTGGAGGTCCTTAAAACGTGCCTTGTGTCCCTTAGCTAAGTCTAGAAGTACAGAGAATAACTGGGAGGCGCCTCTGGGCCAGGGAAAGGGAGTCCAGAGACGTGGGTTCTCCCGCCAAGTTGACCTGCGTCCCTAAGCAACTTGGTCTCCAGGCCTCCTCAGGGAAAGAAGGGAGAGGGATATAAACACCGAAAGGGCCCAGACCACTTGCGCTTTGTCCAGGACTGTGTCCCCGGTACCTAGAACTGCCTCTGGCACATGGTCAGCACGCAATACATGTTTGCTGGAAGCATGGACATGGCAACCTGGTCATCACCAATAGCCTAGGGGTCCCAGCAGAGGTGCCAGGCGTGCCAGGCCCCAGGCCACCTCCCCACACCTGCTCACCTGGCGCCTGAGGGGTCTCTGAGCCAAAGGGGAGCGGCCTGGTGGGGGCAGTTTGGGGATGGTGCCCCAGGGGGGAGCGCCGTGGGGCTGGAGCAGGTGGGGTGTGTCTTTGGGAAGCTGCAAGATGTAGCTGGTGTCTGCTGGCTGGGAGTGGACGGACAAGACAGAGCCTGTGGGCAGAGGGGCCAGGAGGAGAGAGAAGAGCTGGAAGGTCAGTGGTCTGGCTCTCACCTAAGTCCCTCCCCTCCCCTCTCCTCTCCCCCCCCCTCACCCCCCCCCAGGGCCTCTACCATCCCCACAGACCTCTCATCCTGGATTGAAAGCCACTCTCGTGGGCTGGGGGTCCCTTGGAGGTCAGAGAGACCTCTCTTGCTGCCTCAGTGCCCCTCCCCCCCGGGTCAGGACTGGGCTGAGGCAAGGATGGGGTCTCCCTGTGTGAGCCCAGGCGGCCTGCCTGAGCCCTGCTACCTGACTGAGCTTTGGGGAGCGCCCAGCTTCTGCGACCTAGGGACCCCTCGGCGCTGCTTCCATCCCGGCACATGTAGCTGTCATTGGGCAGGGAGTGCGTCCGGCTGACCCCAGACTTCCGTACGGTCAGCAGGTCTGGTCCCAATGCCAGGGGCATCTCCTCGGGGTGGGGCTCCATCTGCAAAAGGAACAGGGGAAGGAGGTAGGAAAAAGAGGGGGCATCCGGATTGGCTGACTGAGGCAGAGCTGGACAACAGAAACCAGAAGCCGCACCCCCACCCCCGGCTCGGGCCCCATCCCCTCCCCCGACAAGGCGGTAATGGGATGAGTTAGTCGTGGGGGAAAAGGGGGCAGACACATGGATGAGCCCTCCAGCACAGCAAGGAAGCAGGTGGGGGGAGTCCCTGCCCAGAAAGCTATCCAATACTGCTACTGCGTCACTTCCCCGGAGCCTCCTGGTGGGGATGGTGGAGGAGTGAGAAGGTGTCCAAAAAAGGGAGAGCAGCTCCCAGGCCCAGCCCGGCAGGTGGTTCAAGAGGTGGTTCCCGGGGCCCCATTAAGAGGCTCTGAAGCTGCACAGAGGACAAAAAGCTAAAAGCACCCCCCTATCCCTGTGCTGGGACTATGGGGGTGGGGTGGGGAATGAGGGGACCCACCCAGTGAGCAGGGCCTGCCTACAGGGCAGAGACTGCCTCACTGCCCAGGGCTTTAAGAGCGCCGGGGCCCAGCACTGGGCATGAGCTGAGTTAATGTGGGTTCGGTGACAGGTGACCACGGGGGAATGTCAGCGGGCTCCCCCACCTGGCTCCCTCCCCTTTTGATTACTCAATGACCCTGGCAGGTGGCAAATGGGAGGTGGGGGAGGCAAGGTCTGAATACCTTGAATACCATGGACTCAGGGCCTCCCTTACTGGACAGATTGGGGGTGGGAGTGAGTTTTTTGAATTTGTTTCAAAGAAAAGCAGTAATCGGCCTTTGACCCCAGCTGGAGGGAGTCAAGGTTTGTTCCCAAAAGATTTCTCCATCTCCCCGTGACCCCCTTCCTCCTTGGGGGGGTCCCCTGTACCCTCCATTCCTAGTTCTCAGAGAGGCTGGAGGGGCCGTGTCCCCACACAGGCCCAGCCGGTTAAGGAGCCCCAGTAAGGGCTGTTGGAAGAGTCTGGAGCCTTTGCTCCCCTTATCAGCCCCAGGCTCCACTTCTGCCAGCCACCTCAAGACCCCTAGGGACCCCCACCCAGCCTGTGGTCAAAGCCGGACCCCCGCTGGGTCCTGCTGTGAAGAAGGGGCCCCTGTCTCTTAAGTCATCAGAGGAGGGGGGAGGCAGGGCGGAGGGAGCTGCTCGCAGTTGGAAGGGGAAGGGGAGCTGGGCAGGGGTGAAGAAGCTGTCCCAAACACAAAGACCCCCCCCAGGACATGGGGACACGCAGGGACAGCAACGGAGGAGACAGGAACAGCTCCCCAGGCAGAAGGGCTGGTTGGTAGCAGCAGAGATGGTTTCACCCACCGGGAGGAGGGGGGAATGGCTCATGTAGCGAGGAGGGGGGAGGGAGGGGAGCGGGGGGCGGGGAAGGGCTGGCTTGCACAGGCTCCAAATACAGAGACGGACTCCGCATCCAGGCAGGCCCCTTGGTTAGCTAGCTGCCTGATGCCACCTCTGTTTTGGGCTGTGTTACTCCTGGATGTCTAGGTTAACTCTTTCACAACTGTGCCCCTGGGCCCTTGAGGCCCCAGTTTAATCTCGTCTAATTTCTTTGTCCACAGTGGGGAACTGGAAAGACCTAGGGATGCCTGGGGCACGGAGCATGCTTGCTGGGGGATGCCTCTGGGTGGGGCCTGGTGGCAGAGAGAGAGAGAGAGAGAGAGAGGGGAGGGGAGGGATCTGGAGCCCTGCAGCCAGCCCAGCCCCTGGGGAGGCTGGGGGAGCAGGAAGGGGCCATGTGTAAGTACATTGCTCTCCAGGGCACTAAGTAAGAGTGTGTGAGTGTCATCAGGCAAAGAGTCATCCGTCAGAGCTAGAGAGCAGGACGGTTCAGACACAATCTCTGACGTCAGAGACAGAGCCTCCATCTCAGCTAGAGGGATCTAGACAGGGAGAGAGATGATCAGGCATAAGAAACCAGGACAACGCACACACTTGCGCGTGCATGCACACACACACACACACGCACACACACACGCGCACGCGCGCACGCGCACACACAGAGCCCCCCCTTTCCTCCTTTCCATGAAGCAGAAGCATGGGGGAAAAGGCCTCTCTTCTCTCTCCCCACCCCTCTCCCAAGTCAACTGACAACACCTCCCCCCCCTTCAAGCCCCTCCTCTGATTCGAGAGGCTGCGGCAGGCGCCAAAGAGAGCGAACCCCGAACCCCAAACCCCGACATAGCAGGAGAAGCAGAAACTTATTCTAAAGATACCCCAGGAACCTGAATGGCCCCCTCCCACACTACCACCACCCAGGGAGGAAGCGGGGAGCAGGGAGGGCTTTCAACTCTCAGAAAGATGAGACCAGAAAAAAAAAAAAAAATGAAGAAAGGCCAGCAAAGCACCTCTCTACTCTCGGCACAGACAGAGCAGCGTGGGGGGCGCTGGGGACAAAGCTGCCAATCTGATGACTGTTTTCTGCTTATTCTGTCTGCTTCCAAAAGCCTGGCAGGACTTGGCCTGCCCCCAGATTCTGGCTTCTCCCCTCCTGGGCCCTCCTCCGCCTGCCGGCAGCTTGCCCGCCCTCTTTAGCTTTGGTTCTGGGAGATGCTCTCCTCCTGCCGCCATTCTGAATTGAGCGCACTGGGGTGGGCCACCACGCAAACTGGCTGGCTCACCAGGGATCTGAGGGGGGGATTTCAGTGCCTACAGCACCCTGGGGAAGGGGAGGGCCATCCCTCCCAGATGAGCCATCTGCCTGATCAGCCCATCATGTCCTCTTCTCTCCCCGCACCCCCCCTCTTCTCCCCGCCCCACCGCCATGAGCCTCCTTCAGGATGGGAGGCCTCGGGAAGGGATGGGCTCTCTCACAGATCATTCTAGGTCATTGCCAGGTTGAAGTCCCTACAGCCCATCTGAGACTGAATTCCAAGAGGGGATTCAAGAGGTCAGGGACCCTAGAGGCAGGGTCCCTTCCTATGTGAGGATAACTGTCTATTTCTTTGGAACAGGCTACAGGTGTCCCAGGTACTGGGAAGCTGCCTTCCTTCCCCTCCACCCAACAGGGCCTGTAGAACACCAGGCTTTTCTGTCTCCCACTAACACCTGTTTTCTTGCCTCCACTCCAGGCCTACCGGGGGCTTCCCTGCAGCACCTGACCCAGGAGAGATGACAGGGCGCTCTGCCAAATGGAGGGGGGCCACAAGGGGGGAAGAGGTGGGTAGGAGAACCCCAGGAAGCCGAAGAGCCGTGTTTAGATGGGACTGGGAAAGAAAAACACGCAGAGCTGTGGAAAGAGACTGGGCTTATGGGGGACACCTGGTCTTATTTCACAGCGAGGTCCCCAGAATCCACTCTCAGCTGGAACCTTCCATTTCCTCCCATGACCAGGTCAGAAAGCACTGGCTACTGAGAGCACTCATCATGTCTAATGGGCTCCATGGCTAAAAAAGCCACCAAACAGAGATTTGGGGGATGGGCGCTGGACAGAGGGAAGAAGCAGACGGTGGCCTAAGACATAGCCCTCCACGGGTCCCCTGGCCACCTGCACTATCCCCAAAAGCGCTTCTCCCCTGGATTTGGCACCTCACTCCCTCCACCCACTAAGGTCCCACTGCCAACTTGTCTTCTGCCCCCTCCTCTTTTTGTCCAGGTTCTTTCTGACAAACGCCCTCTGTAAACCCCTCCTCCATTCGTCCTTCTCCCCTGGAAGTGCAATCTCAGTGTCCCTACCTTCCAAGTATGTGTTCCAAGGGTTAATCTCAGCTTGTAAGAACCCCCGGCTGCCTCCTGCCAAGCCCAAAGCTCAACTGAGGCCCTGAGGCTGTTCTTTCTCCAGCGACCCAGTGGGCAGGAAACACCCCCCGCCTCCCCAGAAGCGGGCAGCATGGCACAGCCGGGCACAGTAACCTGTGGGTCGGAGCCGCCCGGGCTGCGGGCGGGAGGCAAGGCAGAGGGCTGGCCCCCAGGGCCTGCCAGCTCGTCCATCAGCTTCAGCTCCCCTTCCAGGGAGCCCTGGATCAGCAGGGATATGGTGTCAAACAGCTGTCTGTCCTGGGGAGGACCAGCCCAGGAGGGGAGCTGGAGAGTCAGGGGAGCGGGGTTCAGAGGGGCAACGGGGGGAAGTGTCGTAGTGGCAGGGGATTGACAAAGAGACACAGAGGGAGAAAGAGGAGGAGGTCACATGCACACACATAGGTGTGCACACACACACACCAGCAACAAAGACACAGGAGAAGGAGGAGGGGATAGGACAGAGGAGACAGAGGTGTGGGAGGGAGGAGAATGGGAGCCAGAGATGAGAAGAGCTCACAGGGAGAGAGGGAGAGGGAAAACGAAGGTAAGGAAAGGATTGAGAGATGGAATCAGGCAGGTTGAAGGGTGGGAAGGAAAGAGGTTTGGTAATCGGGCAAGGGTAAGAAAGAAACAGGAAGGAAACAGAAAACTTAGCCTTGAACCTAAGAGCCAAGACGGGGAGGCCGACTGGGCTGGAGGCGCAGGGCGTGGACGAGCCAGCACACGTGCCCGTGGCTTGCTGGGGTGGCCCTGTGCTGCGAGGGCGGGCAGCCTCTCTGGGGATGGCGGGGGACCGCTTACCCCTCAGCATCCAGGCAGGAGGGGCAGAAGGATCCAGGTGGGGCCCTGGGGTCTGCCACGCTGCCCACTCCCTGTCCACCACCCACCCAGCCACTGGCCACAGGTCCCATGCCCCTCTCGGCAGGGGTGGCCATCTGCTCACCGTGGGGTGCTCCAGGGAGAAGCGCGAGGCTGCTCCAGCGTGGGCCGCAGTGTGCGGGACCCCAGGCTTGGGGCTGTCGGGGCTGTCGGGGCCCTCGACCCCAGGCCAGAGGAAGGGGCTGCCCAGCGGCGAGTGGGGCTGTGGGCTAAGCGTCTTCATCTCCAGCTCCAGCTCAGCCTCCAGCTCAGCCTCCTCTTTGGCCTCCTTGTTGCTTTCCTCCAGGTGCTTCATCAGCACGGCGATCACCACGTTGACCAGCACAAACTGGGCCGTCAGCACGAAGGACACGAAGTAGATGGGGGAGATGACCGTATTGTAGCAGGTGGACTCCTGGTCACAGTCCCGGAGGGTGTCCTGCGGGCAGCAAAAGCATTACACACTGTCCCGGGGAGCGGGAGTTCTGGAGTGTTCCTGCATAGGGGAATTCCCTGCTTTTATTCATGGCCACTCATCTTGCTCAGGAATCTGGGCTCAAGGAGTGGGACTGCCTCCCCGGGGCCAGGGCCAGCCCTGGCAGGGCCCCTGCGGCTGTGGGCGCTCACCTTCATGATGCCATTCCAGTTGTCACCCGTGGAGACTCGGAAGAGGGTCAGGAAGGCCATGCCAAAGTTCCGAAAGGTGGCATGCCGGCCCAGGCCCTCGCAGGGGTGCGTCTCATCACACTCTAGAGGAGGAGGGCAGGAGAGAGAGGCCCGAGTTAGTGCGGGAGCCCCTGGGCCTCCAGCCCTGGCTCCTCTACCCTCCCCACCCCGACTCACCCAGGTCTCCAAAGAGCTCCACACCCAGAGCTGCAAAGATGAAAAACAACAACATGAAGAGAAGTCCCAGGTTCCCCACCTGGAAGAGAGGAAAAGAAATGGGAAAGGTGCCACTGGGTCTCCCAGCCAGCTTCCCTGAGCTCCCTACTGCCCATCCCTTCGGAAAGCACCCCTCCCCCCAAGAGGGCCCCTCCCCCCCACACCCCCTCCAGCTACCTGGGGCAGGGCCTGCATGACCGTGTCCAGCAACGCCCGCATGCCCACAGCCATCTTCAGTAGCTTTAGCACTGCAGAACAGGACAGAGCGGTGAGCCGCCCCCCACTCCACCAGCTCCACCCCTGCCCTCGGCCCAGCCCCCAGCCCTCCCCTTTGGCAGAGGCTGGGGCCGGGACAGAGACCCATGGGAACACACACGCATGAAGTCCCTGGCCAGCCACAGAGCCACCCCCGGCCGTTTCCCCCCTGGGCCAGTCACCCTGGGCAGGTGGGTGGTGGGCGAGTAGCCGGGCACCGACCTCGGGCAATGCGCAGCACCCTCATGATGCGGATGATGGTGGGGTTGATGGGCAGCGAGGCATTGACCTCGATCTCCTCCAGCGTGATGCCCATGATGGATAGCAGCACGATGGCCAAGTCCAGCTGGTTCCACCTGGAAAGAGGACACAGCTCCCTGAGGGGGGAGCACCGCAGAAGAGGGGGCATGCGTGGCTACCCAAGTGACTACAGAAAGGAGGGTGGAGGTCAGCCAGTCCCGCCTCTCCATCCTGTGGAGAAGGCATGGCTTGACTCGGGTCACAAAGGCACAGGTCGGACTGAGACTTGAGCTCAAGGACCTCTGCTTTTCATTTGTATTCATTCTTTTTTTTTTTTTTTTTAAAATTTGGCACTTATATGCTGTTTACTAGGTGCCAAGCACTGTTTTAAAGCCTTTACAAATAAGAACTCATAATCTTCCCAGTATTGTTTCTCCTTTTATAGATAAGGAAACCAACATACAGAGAAGTGGAGTAACTTACCCTAGGTCACCAGCTTCTAAGTGGTGGCGCCAGGATCCGAGTCTGGTCCGGGCAGTCTGGCTCCAGGCTCTGTGCTCTTAAGCCCCAGTCTGGGCCACATCGATTTCCAGCTGCCTGTGTTCCCCCAGGCCCTGGATGCCCCCCCACTCCCCCCTGCTATCAGCCCTCGGTGGGTCCTAGAGTGGAGGCTGTACCTCAGGAGTCCAGAAAGGTTTTTCAGCATTTCCCTGGGAGACATGTCCTTTCCCCCACTCTCCCACACCCCACCGCTCTCTGTTACCTGTCCTGGAAGAACCGACGGAAGCCAAAGGCCACGAGTTTAAAAACTGACTCCAAGACAAAGATGATGGTGAAGATGTAGTTGCAGATCTTCAAGGCCTCATCCAGGATCTGGCAGGGATAGGGGGCAGTCTATGCAGGGTCTCCTAAGGCCCAGGGGGGATGCCTGCCCCTCCCACTCCATCACAATTCCGGATCTGGGAGACAGGGGAGTCTAAGGGGACCTTTCTTTTCTGTCCCTGCCATGATGGTCGACCATTGGTCACCACACCAGGATAGAAGAGGGTCCTTAGGCATGATCCGAACTTTGTGCTAAAGGATCTCTCTCCTTGAGGGATGGGGAGGAGACCCCATGAGAATGTGCTGGAAGGCACAGAAGGCTAGAGCCCGGAAAGGGCCTTGTGCATTACTAATTCAACATCCCCATTTTACAGATGGGGAGCCTGAGGGCTGGAGGACAGCTGACGGTGGCTGATCTGAGGAGCGGCAAGATCGTTGGTGAGTTTGGAGCTGGACATTCACTAGAGTCGTAACCCTGAAAGGGCAGACACTGGTCTTCACTGGTCTGCCTTCTTTACCCTCAAAGGGTAAAGAAGCCCATGGCAGGCACTCAATAAATATTTGCTGGGTGAAGAAGTCAGGTCCTCCACTTCCTAGCTATATGACCTTGGTCTAGTCATGGAACCTCTCTGAGCCTCAGCGTCCTCATCCGTAAAGCCAAGATGATACCCACTTCCAGAGTCGCTGCAAGGTGTGCACAAGGAACTCCTGTAGGGTGCCCAGGAGTTGCCCAAGGTACCCCAGCACAGGGGAGGTTAGCTTCACCCTGCAGGCCCATGGCTGGACACAGGGCCCGGGGGGCCGGTCACTCGCTCCTACCTGGGGCTGCTGGTAGTGTTCCATGGCCATGGTGACCACATTCAGCCCAATGACACCCGTGATGAAGAGGTCCAGATAATGGCTGGTACACAAGTGGTGGACGAGGAGCCGGAAGCGGGAGTAGTCTGAGTAGTAGGGCTTGCACTGGGCCTCTGGTGGGGCAGGGGGGAGAGCAGAGCAGCCATCGGGCCCCTGCCCCACGGCGCCCCCGCCACCCGAGTCCCTCACAGCCGCCAGCCTCTAACGCCAGAGCCGCAACATTCCAGAGTCCTCCGCATCCTCGCCCTCCACACACTGCCTTTCTCGGGGCAGGGAGGCCGGGGGGCTCCCTCGGCGTCTGCCCTCCAAGCGTCTGTTCTACTGGCTACAGCTGGGTGCAGAAGGGGTCAGGACATGCAGAGCTCCCCACCCACATTAGACACCAGGTGAGCCCCGTCCCCGAGGCAGCCTCCAAAATCCACCAGCCCCTCATAATGCCCTTGACTTGGTGTCCCGCCGTAAGGCCAGATCAGTAAGATGGAAAACAGCTGGTCTTACAGGAGGAAGCTCCACCAACAGAGAGGCAAAGGTCCTTGCTCCTTTACCACGCTCAGCCCCTCGGGGGGAGCAGAGCAGATTACCCAGAGCTGGGATTTGGGGATAACACCGGAGATTGGAAATTGGACATCTTCTTGGCTGGCCGCACTGACCCACCCTGAGGGCCTCCAGAAGGCCCTCATGGGGTGGGGGAGGCGGGGTGCAGAGGGGAGGCCACAGGGCTCTGCGCTTCCCAGATTCATCTGGGGGGGGGCTCCACCTGAAGGACTCACCCAGTTTCTAATGAGGCCATGCCCCGCCTGCTCCTGGATGTCAGGGCGGCGTCAGACTACAGGCTGGGCTGGAAGCACTGTCTGAGATCTGTCAGAGGCATATTTCTCTTGTAATTAGTGAACCACTTAGTTATAAAATCATGGGGCCAGAAGGTTGGGCTGCTAAGCAGGCAGAATGAATCTGGGGGCAGGAGAGGGCAGGGGGCCCCTCCTCCGGGTGCTGAGGAAAGGCCAGGCCAAGTTGGGGATGGATGTCAACTGGAGGCGGTTGACAGATTGCCACAAAGAAAGAAGAGGCTCCCCATGGGGAGGCTTGGGGCAGCCTCAGGTCCCAGACAGCCCTTCTCCCTCGGAAAGTCTAGGGCAGAAGCCAGCCAGCAAGGGCTGCCGCCTCTGAGGTCCGTGCCAGCCACGGGTAGCTGGCTCAGGGGCAGCAGGAAGCTTCGGGTCCAGGCCAGCTCAGATATAAGTGTCCTTCCCCATGCAGAGGACTATGGAACAGAGAGGTAAACTGAGGCAGGGAGTGGCCTGGGGTGGGCCCCCACCGAAGGCCGAAGGAAGAAGAGCGCCCAAGAACTGCATGTGCAGGCTCACCGGATGCCACTCTCCAGCATCGGCCTTGAGGTATGGATAACCAAGAGGCAGAAAGTCCCGAATGTTCTGGTGCACCATAGACTGCGTTAGGCCATCATTTTGTTTTCAGACATGGGCCAGCCAACTCTGGCTTTGTTAGCTCAGATGGCCCTCTGCTCCCCAGGGCAGGGGCAGGTAGAGAGGCTCGGGAAAGGGGACAACATGAGGCCACGGGTCATCCACACTGCGATTGTGGAGGGCGGACCAGGCGAGCCGGGCCTCTTCCTTCCTTCCTTCAGTACCCACGAGAGCCAGAGGGCGCTAGTCACCCTGCGTTGCCTTAGCAGCTGAACACTGTCTCTGCATTAATCTCTGTAAGTGCCGAGAGCACCCGATCTCATTATGCTAAAATATGAATGGAGAATTAACTAAAATGCTTGAATACAATTAGGTTAGAAAAAGTGGCTCCTTATTAGCCCCATTATTAGCTGAGATAATGCAGAGGAGGGGTGGGGAGAGCCCCCCCCTTCCCTGTCCCCCTAGTCTGACTACGTAGGCAGCCCCAGGCCAAAGGGAGCTGCTGCTACCACCTCTGTCTTCTGGCCTCGCCCTAGCTGTCTGAGGGCTGGCGGACTGGGATTAGCCTGCGACCCTCCTCCAGGCAGCCGGGAGCAAAGGGGGCGACAGGGCAGAGGCAGGGCATGTTGCTCAGAGTGACAGGTGCTGGGCCCCTGAGGTCTGCCCCTCCAGCCCCGGCCCCCACCCCAGACCAGCGGGTGCCGAGGCTGCCAGAAATCCCAAGGGTCCCAGGGCCAGTCTGATCGGCATGCCCTTGGTCAACCCCTTTGTTTTACGCAGGGAGGGAACGAGGCCCCGCACAAGGGACTTGTCCGCACATTGTGAGGCCAGGATGGAGCCAGGACGGAACTCCCACCCGCATCTCCCGCCAGCCGCCTGGTGGGTTTAGACACGAGGCCTTGCGGCCTTGCCCCAGAGGGGCCCTTCGGAGAATTTGCCCAAAGGCTCTCGCTCTTAGGCTTTGGATGATGCCACCCCGCTGTGGCTCCCCAGGCCTGGGTTCTCCAGGCAAGCCTCTGAGCTCAGAGAAGTCGAGACCTCCCGGAGTAGCCTTGGACGGGGCTGCTCCTCCGAGGGCTCCGGCCATAGCCCATCTTCCCGCCGCCCACCAGTAGGAGCTGCCTTGGGCTGAGCTGGAGAGTCGGGGGAGGGGCGCCCCCAGGACTGCCCAGCCCCCAGCCAGGGCAGGAGCCGGGAGAGGAGCAGGGACCGCACGGCTGTGAGTGAGGACAACAGGCGCAGGCAGTTAGTGGAGCCCAAGGCACAGCCAGGGCAGAGGGTTTGCAAAGAAGAGTGGCAAGGAATAGGCGGAAGGCAGGGGTCGCTCCCAGGGACGCAGGCCCCCTTGGCAGAGGCCACACCTTCAGCTGCCGTGGCCAGGCCTGATCACGGGGTCCCGGTGGAATGAGAGAGGTGAGGGGACGTAAGCGCCACAGGGGGCCGACAGGAGCGCAGTGGATGTCAGTCAGTGACCCCGGTCCCTCCCTTTGCCTGGAAGCTGGGCTGGACCCAGGTGTCCTGTCAGGCCCATTCCCCTGATAATCAGTGAGTCTTTCCTTCTCTCTTTCCCGGGGGTCTGGCTGGCCGCCTCCTCTGGGAGCAGCACCGAGTGGGAGTAGAGCTGGCCGGGAGGTGTGGTGCACGGGGTGGGGATGGGGGGTTCATTCTAGCTGCCCCAGACTAGGGGGTGCGACTTCATACCCATCACACAGCTGGGTAGACCACACATCATCATCGCCATCCCCTGGCAACGGATTGGAAATGCAGATGTTCAGGTCCTCCCCTAGAGCACTCCAGGAGAATTTCTAGGGCGGTGCTCAGGAATCTGTGTTTTACTATGTTCTTCAGGTGGTTCTTAGGCACACAGCAGTGTGAAAAGCTCTACTAGAGACCACACAGAGCACCAGGTTTGGGAAAGAGGGGTCTGGGAGTGGTCCGAGCCCCTGCGAGGGGTCTCTGAGTCTTCATCACCAGCTGGAAAGGTAAGACACACTATTGTCATCATGGGACGTGCCTGTAGGTGCCAACGGGAGCATGGTGGAATGTGCCCAAAATGGGGGTGCAGCGTGAGGATAACAACAGATGTGGGGCATTGAGTGGGTGTCTTGGGAGGAGACCTTGGGACCAAGAGGACCTGAGTGTGTTAATTCCTGGTGGAGAAGCTTCTTTGGACTAGCCCTATGCTAGGGTGGTATCGGGATAAATGAGCAAGTGTGGACACTCCAGTCTTCAGATCAGGTGACCCTATAAGGGAAAAGCTGAAGCTACTTCCTCCTCCCCTCCCCTCCCCCCTAACACATCAGGAATTTGCGTACAGCCTGACACAGAGACGTGGGACCCAGGCAAGACAGACACGAACCTGCCGGAGCCTCCTGAACCCCCAGACAGATAGATGGTCTCTCAGTGCCAAACACCAGAGCTTGGCACCATGGGGACAGAAGACATCAATCCTCAGGGATGGCCTCCCAAATCAAGGCTCAGGGATACCCTGAGCCCTCACAGATCAGGCAGCCCAACACCTAGAGGGCAGCGTCTGCCAGAGTCTGGCTTCTGGGGGAGCGCAGAATAGTGGGGAAAGGTGCAGCCCAGTGGTTCCCAGCCTGAAGTCCCAAGTCCTCCGCAGCCCAAGAAGGCAGCCACATGGGGGTCCTTATGTCCTTTTCAATACTTCTAAAAGCTTAAAAGAACTCATACCTAGGCCCATGTTAAGACCCCACAGACCAGCTTAATGGCAAGAGGGTCTTTCTTTGCTATCGTTCCATGGGAAACCTTCCGCAGCTCAGAAGCTCTGGTGAGCAATTAGATGTGCCTTTGATTAGCAAAAGCAGTGAAACAAAGTCATTACTGAGGTGCACCTAACTTCAAAGGCAGGCTCTTAGAACATGGGGTCTGCTGGAGGAGACGATAAGGGGAGCCCTTGGGGATGAACAGATTGGGAACCACTGGGCAAAGACATCAGAGGGTGGAACGAGGCCCTGCAGCCCTGTCCCAGGCTCCCCTGAGCCTCTGACCCTCTGCCTGGGGGCCGTGTTGGGGGAGCAGTGGCCTGAGGACCAGGGGAGGACAAGCAGGACCAGAGCCTTCCCAGGGACACGGCTCTCAAAGACAAGGACCCAACTCACCCCCGAACCTTTGGCTTTCTGGGGGGAGAAGCTTGCGGCTAACTCAGGCCTTCGATTCCCAATCCTGCTGTTTGTAGCGATGACGTGGCCACCGCGATTACTTGACTATTAATGAGTCTGTTCAATTATTCATTGTTACATTTTTAAAACAAATCCTTTCCCTCTCTGCTCCTCTCATCCCGCTTGCTTGGATCAAAGTCTCCCCTTCAGACAAAAGGAGACGGGAGAAATTTGCAGCTCTAACAATCAAACGGTGTGACACGGGGGAGGAGCAGGAGTGGGAACGGGCTGCAGGGGGCTGGGCAGCTGGGCCCTTGGAAGCCCTGCAGGGAGAAGGTGCGTCCTCCAAGAGGTGTGGGAGGAAGGAACGTGCAAGACCGTCCCCTCCCAGTCCGGCGTAGCACAGGCCTAGAGGATGACGCAGAGCCCAGCGCCCCAGGGACCCTCACTCCCTCACCCCAAGAGGATGGAATCAATGAGCCAAGGAGGGGGGAGCAAAGAGGACATCGCGGCACGCATGAGGCGGGCCTGGGGGCAGGTAGGGCCTGACTGCCCCCGGGCCTCGCCCTGGAACCCACAACCCCAGACGCAGTACCTGGCGCCGCGCTGGATGAGCTGCCGGAAGCAATTACATCGTCCAGCATTAGATCTAAAAGAACGAAACACGACATTGGTCACTGGCCGGACCAGGTGGGCTGGGCAGGGCCCCCTCTAAGCAGCTTGCTCCCCCTTGGCTCCAACCCTCGCTCCACCTATAAATGGGATGCCCCGAGCACGGGTGGCTGGTCCTGAGTGTCCAGCCCCAAACTCCGGGCCCAGGGCACTTGAGGAAGATGAGCCATTGGGCCAGCTCCTCAGGGTCACAGGGCAGGGAGACGGAGTCATAGGGAGGGGCAGGCAGCCTGTCATCAGAACAGATGTCCACTCCTACCCACGCCTCGGCCTGGGCAGCACCTGAGATAGCTCCGGACCCCAGAAGGGGAGCCAGCTGGTCAGGCAGGGCCACAAGTGCCTCCTGCCAAAAGAATTCCACCTGGAGAGGTCCTGCCACTGAGAAGGCAGACTGCAAGGAGGGGCGGGGCGGATGGAGCAGGGGTGCTGGCGTGGCTGCTGGGGGTGGTGCACCTGCTCAGCTTCAGACATCCACTGGGAGAGCCCAGATGGGGCCCCTACCCCAGAGTCAAGCAGGGGGCGTGGGGCATGGGCGTTGAGGATGTGGGACGTGGAGAACTGCACCACCCGCCACTGCCCAGAGGTCAGTATCTCCTCGCCATCGCCATGGGTCCTGAGGTCCTGCCCCACCTCCCCCAGCACAGGGAGCTCCGGGTCTGTCCCCCCCCCAGCAGCCCCAGCCCCTCCCCGCCCCCTCCCCTCGCTCTAGGTGCCCCCCACAGGTAGCAGGAGATAGGGCCAGAGGCCGAGCGGAGGGAGGGGCACCGCGCCCGCTAACCCCTTTGTTGGTACTCACATTTCAACAAACCAAAGGGAAAACTCAGAGCACTGCACACATCTTATTGGCGTGAGGAAGACGGTTTTTGAAAGGGCAGAGAGAAGGGAACCCCGTGGACCAGACAGAGACAGACACACAAAGCCTTAGAGAAACCCACGCACAAAGATACTCAGCGAGACGTGGGCCGTGACTGAGGGAGAGTCGCAGAGATTATGGAGTACCAGACAGACGGACAGGGACCCGACGACGGGGAGACAGGTGCAGACACACCTGGAGAAACAAAGGGGCTCCCGCGCCTGTTCCTTCTCTCGAATTCTTCCTGGAATCTGTGTCTTTTCCCTTAGTCTTGGCCTACCCCTGGTCTAAGAGCATGAGGAGGGATGGGAGGGAGCCTCCCCCAACCAACGCCGATGTTGGAGATCCCAGGTGAGGGGGCTGAAGGATCTAAGGCCAGAGAGTCGTGAGCTTAGAGTTCCTATAACCTCACACCTTCCCTGAGAGATTTTTCCCCACCCCGGCTTGGGAAAAAAAAAAAAAAAAGACAACCAGGAACCAGGAAGCCATGGGCTTTTGCTGGAGATTGGGAGAGAGAGTGGGTCTGGGGTTCTCTCACGCATTGTCCATTTGTCGGTTCTGCAACTACAGACCCTAGGCAGGCGCAGGTTCGAGGTGCTTGCTCCCCAACCCAGGGGCAAGCGAGTCTGGCGCCTGGGCCAGTTCCTGGGTCTCTGGACACCGGCAGGCGGCAAAGTAGCAGGATTCTCATCCCATGAGGCTCCTCTGAGAGGCTAGCTGGGAGAGGTCGTGCATCACCTTCCGCCTGGCATCCTCTGAGGAGTATGATGCTGAGACCCGGGGAGCCCCGCAGGGTGCGGGTCACTCCCCCTCCCCCATGGGGCTGAACTGGTCTGCTTCATGCGTGCTCTAAAGGCTGACATGCTCTTGAGGGGAAGGAGGTGAGGAGGGGGGTGGGAGCACCTTCTCCCGGCCCCCCGCCCCAGCCCCTGGTCCCCTGCCGTCACAAGGCCAAGGTCAAGCACGACTCAGAGAGATGTGGAAAGACTACCGACCAGCCATCTGCTTCTCCTTACTCCTTCTCTTTTTCTCCAGTCTCCGCAGACGCTTCTCCTCCCGCCGCCGAGCCTCCTCCTCCTCCTGGTGCTGCCGACACTTGTGGAAGTTCTCCACCACCACGCCCACAAACATGTTCAGGACGAAGAAGGCCACAATGAGCAGGAACGAGATGAAGTACAGCAGCATCCAGGGGTTGTGGTTCATGATGGGCTGGTGGGGATCAGGAAGCACAGGGGGAAGCATCAGCCTGAGGATGCGTCAGACCCGGCTGCCTCAGGTGCTGCCCCACAGCCTGGGGTCGTTAAGACGCGGTCTGCAGGCTTAGTTAGCTACAGGGCCCCAGCAGGTGATCTAAATGAGTGATGTGGCTTCGATGTTAGACAGTAGGGAGGGGTGGAGACTGTGGCAAAGTAGAGGGGTAGGTATTCTATCCAAAAGGGGAAGCTGCTTCCTTGTTCCAGGTAACTCCTGCCCCAAGGAAGGCAAACCCTATGTTCCCAGATCCTTAGACTAATCCTGCGCAGGCCCAATTTCTGCATTTTCACGTGAAATCCACCAATTTTTAGATGTTTGCTACTATTCAAAAAAGTGTAAACGTGTTGCAATCTAATAAAACACATAATCCTGCACAGGCCTAATTCTGGATTTTTGCATGAAATCCACCAATTTTTAGATGTTTGCCACTATTCAAAAAAGTGTAAACATGTTGCAATCTAATAAAGCACGCCGGGATTTGGCCCGCAGGCTACCAGTCAAAGCCTCTGCTGTAAGGGGTGAGGTCTCTTTGATGGCATTTTGCCAGCCAGCCTCCCTCTTTCTGTCCAGGGCCTGCACCACATCATGCCTAGAGCGGCCTGAGCCCAAAGGTGGATCCTGCCCACCCCAACCCTACCTGTTGGTCCACACCCACAGCATCCAGCCCGTCGTACATGATGTCCACCCAGCCATCCTTGGAGGCCAGCACGAACAGGGACATCAGGGCCTTGGGGGAGGGGAGGAGGAGAAACCATCTGAAACCTGGGATGTGTGGCCAAACCAACCACCACCTGTCCCCAGAGCACCTCCTGGCAGAGCACCTCAGGGGACCCTCGCTCTTCAGAGGTCAGGCCCGAGTCACACTCTGGGCCCTATGAGAGCTCTCTGTCCCAGGGCTCCGTGGCTCGTGTGAAGCCAGAGAAGCCCTGGGAGATGATCAAGGCCTCTGAGCAAGGGACACCAGAGCCCTGGAAACCCAGAAAGCAACACCAGGCCGGGTCTGGGAAGCAAACCAGCAAAAGCGAATGAGCGATTTCATCTTCTACGTGGCTCTGTGTTTGCGAACACCGAAGAAGAGAAGGCGCTGACGATGCTGGCAAGTCAGTTGCCCTGTGCGCATCGTGACGCGTGGACTCTTGTCCTCTCCGGATGCCTGCCACCGCCACCCCCACCCCCACCTTGGAGCGTGGAGCTCACCTGGCCGAGGTTGTCAAAGTTGTACTTGTGCCGGACCCACCGGTAACTGGCCTCAGCACAGTCAGACTTGTTGGTGATGTTCCTGGTGTCCTCGCCTTGGCATACGAAGAACTTCCCTTTGAAGAGCTAGACACGCACACGCGGGGAGACGGAGCCGAGTGAGCTGTGGCCACAGGAAGCCCTGAGCTCCCCAGCCCCACCCCTCCCACACAAGCTCTGGGGCCCAAGAGCTCCCGGCACACCCTGGCGGAGGACCCGGTGCACGGACAGGAACCTCCCCTGCAGGCACCCCTTCCTCCGGTCTCCTGGGAGCAGAGACCCAAGGAGAAAAGGAGAAAAGGCCAGCGGGGCAGGTGCCGGGGAAGGATGGGGTGGGGGGTGGGGGGGAACGTTCACTGGTTTTCTACGAAGGGTGAAGCCAGTGGTTCTCCGAGTGGGGTCCCTGGCAGCATTGGCATCATCTGGGAACATGCTAGAAATGCAAACTCTCAGGCCCACCCTAGACCCACTGAATCCGACACTCTGGGGGAGAGGCCAAGCGACCGGGTTTAATGGTGGGGAAAGCCTAGGTATCATCGACTCCACTTGACAGGTGAGGAAAACCGAGGCTCAGAGAAGTAAATTCACACTCAGCTAAGGTTGAATACCCTGTAGGTGGCAGAAAAGGGGCTTGAACTCAGGTATCTGACTGGAAAGCTCCCTCTCATCCCAGAACAGATCAGGCTATGACTGCGGGTGGGGAAGGGAAGGGAGGGCCGGGAGGACCAGGAGGCCTGGGCAAGCCGCTGAGAATGGACCTAAGTCCACTGGAAAAGCCCAGGACTGGGCTCCCAGTGGTTCCCTCTGCTCACCCAAGCTGGCTGGAATGAAGGAAGTGGAAGGGGCGCTGGGTGTGCCAAGAGGCACCCACAGCGTTGGCAAATGTACACCAGCCTGGTCCCTGGGGCTAGAGAATTCTAGGAAACCAGGGACAGCCCTCTCCCCAGGGCAAAGAGGACACTCTGGGAAGCCAAAGGACGGGAACGGGAGGGGCAGTAGCCACCCGGGAGCTCCCCCGCCGCCGCCGCCCAGACAGTTGGCTGTCTACCCTGAAGCCGAAACAGCTGGAGCCAGGGGGTTCTGGAAGGCTGGGGTGGAGGGGCTCCCTGGCTCCTGGGGGCGCCTGCTGACTCCTGCAGGCGGCTCCTGATCTTTTTCTCCTCCGAAGCCAGTTTCCTCCCCGGGCCAGAGGCCCAGTTTCCCCAGCAGCCCCCACTTCCTGCCTCGTCTGGGGTCTGCACCCTCCTGCCTGCCAGCTCGCCGCTAACCTGGCCCAGCTGTCTGGGCCCTGGATCCCCAGGCCTGGCCTGCAGCCCGCTCCGCTCAAGCAGGGGAGGAGGGGTGGGGACCCCGGAGCAGACCGGGGCCAGGGCAGCGTCTGTTCTCCAGAGTGCAGTGTGGGAGGGGGGCAGCAAAAGCAGTCTGCAGCTGCCCTAGGTCAGCGGCCTCTCTGAGGCCCTCGTCCCCTCCGTGGACCTCTTCTAGGCTCCTAGTTTTCTGCAAAACGCCCCGGAAGCAAAGGCGCCTGAGGCCTAGGGCCTCGAGGGAAGGGTCCCTGTTTATTCCTTTCTGGAATAAAGACAGCAGCAGCAGCTCGGGCCTCCGCATCCAAGGCCCAAGAGGAAGGCCACACCTCGGGTTTCCATCGCCCCCTGGCCCCCAGATCCCCCACAAACCTGCACCCCCAAGATGCCAAAAATGATGAAGAAGGCACAACAGATGACCACGATGTTGCCGATGGGTTTCAGCGAGGACATCAGCGTTTCCACTACCAGCTTCAGCCCCTGGGCCCGGCTAATGACCCTGGGGAGGGACAGAGGGGAATAAGAGGGGTTCCCTCAGCTCGGAAGCTCCCTTGTCCCTTGTCCTGCTGTCCCCCCCACCCCCACTGATCTGGGCTCACTGGTCCCCATCCTGGACTCTGGCTTTCTGGGCTCCACGTGCAGAGCACTTCTCTTTGCACGGGATCCCTGCCATGGGGACTCCCACCCCCAATCTCTCCAAATGGGATGCAGACACCCCCACCTCCCCCTGTTCCCCCTCCACTCCCAGATGTCAAAGTATGACCTGATGGGGCTGGGGTGGGGACTCAACTCAAGGGAGGCGGGACCCAGGGACGCAGTTTGTCGTGCGGACAGGGAGACCAACTTGCAGGGGGCGTGGAGGGTGCAGGCAAGGAGGGGGAGGGGGTGGGTCAGTCAGTATTGTCTCCATTCGTGGAAAGTTCTGACGTGGGAGTGGGGGGTGGGTGGGGAGTGATGGTGGGAGGGTCTCCTGAGAGAGCAGATGCCCTGCTAGCAGGGTTAGCTGGTGGGTGGTCCCTGAGAGGTGTGTGAAGGCAGGGAAAGAAGTCTGTTACCTCACCAGGGAGGACGGTCACCCCCAATGGTGCCACCCAAGGGAGACCTTCAGCTGAAGGATATGAGGGCCCTGCCTGTGACCTCTTACAGTGGGGCCTATCCAAGGTCAGGGGCACACTAGCCCTGAGCCGTCTGTCCTGTGGGGAGGGTCACGGTGGGAGCGTGCTCAAGGAGGGAAACTCCTAGGGCCGTGGTTCAAGCCAAGCGATGCCAGGGCTCCCTGTGGGGGTCACAGGCAGGAAGCAGGGGCTCGTGGGGCTCTCGTTCCCCTGCGGGGTTGTTGGTGCTGTCCCTGAGGGGGGCGCTGGGCTGGGGGCGCACCTGAGTGGGCGCAGTGTCCGCAGTAGCCGCAGCACCCTCAACATGCCCAGGATCTTGGTGCCGCTGTCGGAGACCATGGACACCAGGATGTCGATGATGGAGATGAGCACCAGCAGCCCGTCGAGAATGTTCCAGCTGCTACGCAGGTACGCCTGCTCCCCGAAGCACCAGCCCAGCGCTACCACCTGGGGACGCCCGCTGCATCACTGTCGCCGCCGCCTCCCTGCGGTCCCCAGCCCCGTCCTCCGACTGTGGTCAATCTCTCCAACCCCTCGCCCCCCGGCCCGCGCCAGGAACCAGGGAGCCCCAAAGCAACACCGACCCCCCATCACCTTCACGGTCATCTCTGCCAGAAAGACTGCAGTAAAGATGTAATTGGAGAGGGTCAGGAAGATGCGTTCCTGCAAGAGACAGCAAGCAGGTCTCGCCCACTAGGAGCCCCCTTCGTGGGCCAGGGCTGCTCTGCATACAGAAGCCAGGAATTGCCTCCAACGTTTGACTCAGGAAAATGGCCCCCACCTTCCCCAACAAGGCAGACAACCTCTTCTCCCCAGACCTCTCCCTCTCCCTCTCTCTCTCACACACGCGCACACACACAGCAAGCACCAGGCCCCCTGACTCACTTGCAGCTCTGTGGACAGTCTGAACAGCACTGCCTCCCGCCCCCCGAATGGCCTGGAAGGAGAAACGTTCCCCCAACAGTGCTGTCATCTGAGCCCCATATCTCAGAGACCCTCCAAACTGGAGCAGGGTTTACCTTGACCTCTGACCCCCCTCATCCTACTCTCCGCCCTTCTCCCCGTACCTGCTTTCCCTCTGTGTGGCCCAGCAATGGAGCCACAGGGCAAGCAAGGAGCCTGACTATAGCCTGTGTGTCCCCTGGCACCACATTTATGGGGCCATGGGTGGGGGCAGGGCGGGAAAGCAGGTGACCTGGTCCCCTGATATCTGTAGGCGGAGTCCATCCCCGGGTGGCAGGGAGAGGGCTGGGGAGGTCTGGAGAGGCAGTAGGCAGAGCGTGAGTGTCAGAGAGAGAAACAGAGGAAGGGAATGAGAGAAGCGGGCACAGGACAGAGTGAGAGGTAGAGGCGCGGAGGGCAAGAGCGGGGCTGAGATATGGTGATGGAGGCAGAGGGCCGTGCAGCAAGGCCTTGGGCAGGTGGCGGACACAGGAGCCGTGTGACCAGCCGCCCTTGCTCCAGCCCACACAAGCCCCAGGGGTGGGGGTCCCCTCACCCACCTATTCCCAGCCCGGCCCTCCATTCAAAAGGGTCCCTCTGTCCCCACCCTGGCCCTGCTAGAGCTCACCCCAATGGAGACTAGGAGCCCAGGAGCGCTGAAATCTGAATGGCAGTGTGGGGGAGCAGTGAGGAGGGGTGGGGGGCCACTCTGAGCGAGTGGGGCAAGATGCCGTGAGGGGCAAACACTGTCTGGGGGTAGGGGCCTATGATGCCCGGCTGGGGAGAGACAGCTTCCGGAACCAGCTGGGCCCGTCCTGATAGAGGTTGGGTCCCTGGGCATATATCCAGATACTCAGGCCTCTGGCCCTTCCTCTCCTTCTGAGGAGGACTAACAGGTTCACAGGTTCACTAACAGGTTCACGCCAAGCAGAAGTGACGAATGTCCCCACTAACGTGCCTCAAAACCTACTTGTGACCTGGCAGGACCAAGAGGATCGAAGGGCATCTCCCTCTCCCCCACTCTACATTGCCCATGGGGTAGGCTGGGCAGGACGTCTTCCCCCATCAGGGCAGAGGTCATGGGCGAAACCCAGACCTTCTATAGGGAGGAGGGGAAGCAAGACCACTCAGCCCAGCCGGGGCCTCTCCTGCTGTTCGCATCACCCCAACACTCGCCGACTCCCACCGGGGCCCCACAGGTCTCTGGCTCCCGAGCACGTGCTGTCTACTAATAGCTGGGATGCAGTGGGGCTCCCCGGTAAGGAGCAGGCCCCCCCGCACCCCCAGCTTGGCTGCTGTATCACAGAAGGGAAATGGAGGCAGGGGCGGGAGAGGGACACGGCAGGCAGCCCCGGGTGCCAGGTGCCAGGGAGGCCTAAAGGAGACTCCTGGTTCCCTCCCTCCGTGTCGCTCTGGGCCTCCCCGCCCGCCTCGCTGGCTCCGTGGGCGCTAACCCAGGAGGCGGCTGGCACTCAAACAGCCACCGAGCTTAGTCTTTGGTGACTCACAGCACTGTGGGGGTCGATCTTGGGACGCTCCATGGCGATGGTGATGCAGTTGAGGAAGATGATGACAAGGACCACATGGTCGAACATCTTGTGGGTGATGATTCGGTGACATAGGAGGCGGAACCTGCTGGAAGACAGGCAAATGCTGGGCAGGAGGCGAGCAAGGCAGCAGTGAGAGGCCTTGCTCGGCAGCCCCCGCCGCCCCCCCCCCGGGCTCTCCCAGCCCGGGGCCCCTCCCTCACTTGCCCCTAGGCCAGGGGACCCTTCTAGCCTCCCTGGGATGGTGTCACGGGGTCATTCCCCAGGAGGAGAGGTCAGGGACCCCCTGCTCACCTTGACTGAGGAGGGAAGATGTACGCGGACCAGGAGTCTCGCTCGTGGCAGCAGGCAGGCAGCCGGGCTCGGACCCACGCTCTCATGCGCTCCCCTCTGCTCTGTAGAAGGATCACAGGACTCGTGTGCAGGCCCGGGGCCCCCAAGTCCCCCGAGCCCACCCTGCTCTTCGTCAGCAGCTCCGTGGCCCTCACACCCCGTCTAGCCTCTCCCACTTGGCTCAGCTCTCTGCCGTGCTTCTCTTCCTTTATTCCTAAGACCCCCATCTCCCTGTTAGCCCCTTCTCATCCCCTGAGCATCGCTCACTTCGCTCATCTCCTCCCTCCTCCCTTGCACCCCCTCTCCCAGGCTCTCTGCCTCCAGCCCGGCCCCACCTGCCCTCCCTGTTTCCCTCCCCACTGGGCTTAGAAGCCGTATCAATTATCAAACATTGTCCCCATCACAGCTGTCTGTTCAAAGACACACCTGGGACCAGGAGACACTGGGCCCTTCTCCTCACGTGCTAACCCTGAGGTCCTGGGTCCCTGTGCCCCATCCCCAGGGTTAAAGGTGGTGGTGAGGGGCCCGGGGGAGGGGTGAATGGGTGAGGGCGGGTGTGAAGTCAAGGCTTGCGATGAGGTCCAGATGAGAGAGGGGGATGGGGAGGGCATCAGTTTGGAGAGATGAGTGATGGGTATTTCTGAGTCACATGGGGAGGGCCATGAAAGATTCATACACATCTGCCCGAAACCATTCATATCCACCAAGGACCGCAGCGCTGCAGCCCCACGGGTGGCGAGGATCTGCGGCTCGGTGGGGCGGGCATCGGGAGGAAAGGGGCAGTTTGGAGCTCAGCTTCAGGGTCGGCACCCCTTGAGCTCCCCTGGGGCGTGATGGGGCGTGATGGTAACTCCCTGAATGCCACAGAGCCGGGAGGGGCTTGTCCAGCTGGGCGCCAGGTCGGGCACAGTTCCCCTCGGTTCAAGGTCAGGGGTGAGAGCTCACTGTGCCCGCAGGGGCCTCACCAGGTTGCCCTCGTCATCGCCATCGTCCCCATCCAGTGGGGGGTCGTCGGGCCGCAGGGCCCGGGCCAGGCGCCCCGAGGCCGACTTGCCGTTGCAGTCCTGGTGCTCGGAGGCTGAGCTGCGGCCACTGGCCGTGCGGTGCAGCGCAGGAACCCTCAGCGTGTCCGGCAGGTCAAAGGAGTTCTTGGCCTCCCGCTCCAGGGAGCCCCCGTGGCGCCGGTCGCTGCCCGCTGGGCTGGCCCTCTCCTCTTCAGAGCTCTCCTCCTCGTCCTGGCTCTCTCGGCCCTCGCCCGACAACAGGGACCGCCGCTCCCCACTCGGGCTCCTCCGCTTCAGGCTGGGGGCATGGCCCAGGCTGTTTCGGCTGGAGCGCCTGCTGGCCCAGCTGCTCGCTGCACTCCAGGGGCTGTGTGGAGAGCTGCGGGTGCTCGGCTGGGGGGTGGGGGAGCCAAGAAGAGGGTGGTCGCCACCAAGACCTCCCAGCCCCGCACCCCCCTCCCATGCATGCTGTCTCCTGTGAGCCTCCCCAGCATCACATCAGGTATAGAGGTGTGAGCAGGAGCCCTGGACCAGACGCCTGGGTTCCGATTTTTTACTCCAACCAGCTGTGTGACCTTGGCAAGTTACTAAACCTCTCTGTGCCTCAGTTCCTCGTCTGTGTATGAGATATGACACTGGGACCTATTCTTCGTTCAGTTGACTGGCAGTATAAAAAGATTGCAGGAGCATGGGCCCTGACGTTGGCTCCTGGATTAAAGTGCTGGCTCAGTCACCTGCTCACTGCAGAGCTTCCCACAAATCAGTTTGGCAATCTGAGACTCAGATCCCCATCTCTAAAATGGGGATAATAATGATACCTACGTCATAGGGTTGCAATGAGGATTCAATGCATTTAGAATATTTATGAGCAGTGTCTAGAACAGTGCCTCGTCCAGAATTACTAACTGCATGGGGTTTGCTGTGCTTACGATGAAGTATTAAGAAGGTAAGGACTGCCCCCTCTTCCAAAATGCAACTCAGAGGTTGAGCTTCACACAAGGTCGCCGAGTTAAGGGACCGAAGAATAGGATTAGAACACGGCTCTTCTGCCCCCCGAGTCCAGAGCTCTACGCCTGCCTGCATTACTAGACCTACTGACTTCCCTGGGGCTCATCAGGCCTATGGCTCAGAGGCTGTCCCCTTGGGCCTGTCCACTTCCCTCCTCTTTTCCCTCCTGACATCTGCGCATCTCCCACCATCCGGCACCCACGTGCACCCCATACCGGTGACTTCATCTCATGGGGCGCCCCTGGCTCAGCAGACCCGCTGCTGCTGGTGCGGCGGGAGGCGGGGCCCACCACCTCAGCCAGGCCGGTGCTGGAACTCTTGGGGAGCGACATGGGTGTGGCGGCCGTGTGGATGATAAGAGGCGGCAGCAGGTTCCTCCGCAGCTCCGGGTGCTCCCCCAGGGACACCACTGCTGAGGGAGAAAGGGAGAGACCCTGAGTCCACTCGAGGCTGGCCCAGGGCCAGGGGCAGCACCCGCGGGATAGATACGCACAGGCCATGGGCTTCTTCCTGTCCCCATTGCCATCCAGGCTGGGTGAGAAGAAATCGGGCTCCGATTCGGACTTGGTGGCATCTCCCTAGGTGGGGGAGCAGCAGGCCATTAGGGTCCCAGCCGGGCAGGGGTTAGTGGGATGGACTGAGGTCTCCCTGTCTCCACACGCACACACCACATACAGGCTACGGGAACCAGCAACCACAGCACGAGGCATGCACTGGTGCAGGGCAGACCACGCAGCGTGGGGCCCAGAGCTCCCCAGGGCCCCCGACACCTCTGCCTCCCACCAGCCACACCTCTGAGAAGGCCACAGCTCACCCCACAGCCCACAACACAACCAGCCAGGCTGGAACTGGCTCCAGGAGGGGCTGAGAGGAGAAGGGAGAGTGAGCCGGGCAGGGGGGTGGCAGAGGCCAGAGGGAGCTGGGGACCTAAGTGAAAGGGTCACTAGAGCCTAAATTCCAATTTGTGCCCTCTGCTTTCCTTCCAAGGCTGCCCTCCCCTGGGCCTCAGACCTGAGGACCCCAGGAGGCAATTGAAAGACCCCAGACAGAGCAGCTCGGCCCAAGGAGGTCACTGCGGGCCCGCTGCTTCGTGCCCTGGTCTCCCCCCAGACCCCGCCCCTTCCCCTGGCCCCATTTGTACCTCTGTCCCCGTCTCTGGGGCAGTTTTTCCTTCTTAGCAGGTCAGTAGGTTCCCCAGTAATTACACACTTCTCCTTAAGAAGTTATTAAGAAATACTTGATTGCTACTTTTGATAAGGACATAAATATTGTGTAATTGGCATCTCAGGGGATCATTTTCATTAACTCAGTTTACATCCCTAACGAGGCCTTCAATTATCGAGCGGGAACTCCAGGGGGCTGCTCGGGATGCACAGCACGGTAGGGTCCCGCGGGGATCCTGGCTCCGGCCCTCTATTCCAGTGCCAGAGCAGGAAACGGCCGAGCACAGGCTGGGTGCGGGGGCCAGAGGAGGAGCGTGTCCCCGAATACCTGCTGGCCCTCCTAGGCGGCCAGGGGGCCAGAGACGCGGAAGTGGATTTAAAATTCTGGTACCTTCCGGTACCTCCACCCTCACATCCTCCCAAACACTTGTCCTGAGCTGAGGCAGCTTGTGGGGTCTCCAATAGGGGCTCGGGGCAAGGGGGAGGGGAGAGAGATGGGGGAACACGGTCTGCGGCCACGGATCCCGAGTCCACGGAGGCCCGACGACTCGGACTCCTCGGGGACCTCAGCGTCGGCACGCACACGCGGTGTCCCCGACACGTGCACACAGAGGATTCTAAGTCCCTTCCTTCTCCCGCCCCTCCACCGGTCCGGCGGGGGACGGGAATGGTGCCCTTTGCAGGTGGATGGGGGCAGAGGCAAGGAGGCTCCTCCTCTCAATGTCCTCGGCAGGGGAGGGAAGGGACTTGAAATCGAAGCAAACCTCACGACACCAGTGACCACCACGGCTACTACAGTTGCACAGCAGCTGAGCGTGAACACGAGCACAGAGACGCGGAGGCAGAGTGGAGGGCGCACAGGGCACGGGGATGGCAGCATGCCGACTCATGATCGCGTACCTACCCCCTGGGAGTCGACAGGCAGCTGAATACAGCTTAACTGTCCACTCGCATCTTCCCGTTTGCTGATTTCCTACAGGGAGACGGGGAGGCAGGGGACGGGCGCTGGTCACAGGCGCTCGGGCTTTCAGACATCAGCAGTGTCGAAAGAGGATGAAGAAAAGGATGGTGCAAACCGGGCAGGGGTGGGAGGGGGACAAGACACCGGGGGTAGGGGAGGAGGAGAGAGGGGACAGAACGGCCTTCCAGAATTCAGCCACAGGCCCTCGGGCCAGAATGAATCTGAAGGGTGAGGGCAGGGAAGGGAGACCGAGCCCTCCCCCCGGTTAATCCTAATAGTGACAGCTACAGTTAACTGGGGTGCCAGCCCTCCCGAAACTGCCTTATGAATACCAGCTCGCCTCTCGCAAGGTGGGAAGGAAGTACCGCGAATGTCATCTTAGAGGAGGCACCTGGGGTTTGGAGAAGCTAAGACAACTGTCCCAAGGCATGCAGAGAGTAAGAGGTACATCTGGGCCTCGTACCTGAGTCTCCAGCTCACCTCTTACTGGCCCCGCACTGGCAGGGGGCTTGGGGAATGGGCAGGGAGGGTGGGAAGGAGGAGGGGATGGAGCCCGAGGCTGGCAGGAGGCTGAAGGCCGGGAGCTGGAACAGGCCTCCCCAATCCCCCACGCTCAGCCTGCATCCCTCCAAATCAGACCGGGTCCAGCTGCTCCCACTGGGATGGGATGTGACAAGTAACACTGGGATGACAGCTATGATGTTGTTTAATATCAATTAATGGCCTCACACAGGGCCTGACGCCTGTTCATTTAATTAAATGTGTGGATGATAAATATACAGGGATTCAGGGCACTGCCCCCTGCAAGTCGGGAAATCAAAACTGAGCCAGCCCAGCCCCCTGGGGCTCCTCCCTCTTACCTCTTGGCAGGGTGGCAAGGCCAGCCAGGGGCTACCCTTGAGCCCTCCTGCTAGTGATGCCCCACAAAACGGGGGCGGCCACTTCCTCTACCGAGGTGGCTTGCCTCGTTTGTGAGAAAGCCGGCCATCACAATAGCAAAAAGCAGCCTCTCCTGCCAGATCGCGGGGCTCCCTCAAAGCAACATGCACAACCCCCTGAAACTCGTACCCGAGAGGGCAGGTGCTTCTGGAAGCATCCAGGTCACCGGCATTGAGTGACTGACCCTCCCCTCCCTCACCCAGGTGTTGGCCCACCACAGGCAGGACAGCGGGCAGCTGGTCCAGCCCCTCCCGTGGGCACTCCAGGGCCATGCCCTGCCTCCCCCACCCCCACCCCCTGAGGGGGGTTGATCTGGACCTCCTTTCTCCATCCCACCCCAGGCCTGAAGCGCCAAGCCCTGAGTGGGACCCTCCCCTACAGGCACCCATGTTCTGCGAGGGTTGAGGAGGCTGTGGCCCCAGGCCCTACCCCGCCCCGCTCAGGCTGGGGCAGCCACGGCCCCCAGCAGGGCCAGAGTGACCTGCCTTGTTCCCAGCAGCCCACTTCGCTGCTGCCTAGCAACCAGGCCGGCTCCGCAGCTCTCCATTTAGCCAGGTGTTTTCTGAAAGGGGCGGCGGCGGGGAGGGGGCTGTCTGCACAGGGCACCTCCAGGCCAGCTGAGGGGAGAGGGACAGGCTTGGGGTGTTTTCCCTTTCTGTCCATGCAGTTCCTCAGGAATTTTTCTGAGGACATCTTAGCCGTCGGGAACAGTGGTTGGGAAGGGGCTGCAGGACCCCCATCCCCACTCAGCATCTCTTCCCAGAGGCTGAGAGCAGTAACTGAGAGTGGTGGGTATCCACGGGGATCCTGGCTCGCATGGGAGCACAGTGGCACCCCTTAACTTTTCAGGACCATGGAACCCCCAAATAAGTGCCTTGTGCCTCCCCGCACCAGAGGCCCCGCCATCCCCAAAGGCAGGGCGCACCTCCACCATCAGCTGCCCTCGCGGCCAGCCCGTGGGAGGAAATGCCATCATGGATCACTACAGAATTTGCACGGCTGGCAGCAGGCGAAGGCCGCTGTGGGACGGATGCCCCCGCACCCCACTAGCCCAGCCGGCCTACGGGGAACGGCCCTCCCTCGCAAAGCTGGGAAAGAGTCGGAAAATAGATTTTTGTTTTTCCACCGTGTGCCGAGTATTTATAGACCAGGCCGCAGCGGGAGTTTCCATCCGGGTCATCCGGAGAGAACTGGACCAAGAGCTTCTCTACGCCCAACCTGGAGCATTTCTAGGTTGGGTCAACCTGCCCGTGAATGATGCCCGGAGGCCGGGCCGGCCCAGAGCTCGGGGGAGAGGGGCAGAGCAGAGAGAGGAGCGGCATGCCGTCCTTCAGGCAGAGGCTGAGCCCTGGCACAGTGAGGGCAGGATCAATGCAAATCAATATTAATTGATGACGCTGCCCGTGACGAAGGTGATGGAGCCTGGGCTGGAAATAGGACGCTCATCTCTGCCATGCCGGCAGCTAATTGGGCTCATTTCTCACCCTGGGCAGCTTAGCCCTGCCTGGGCCCTGGTGGCATCTTCATCAGCTCAGCTGGAGCTCAGATGACTTGCACACATGCTTCCCCCACCCCTCGGCTCAGATGGGTCCCCTCCGGATGTCCCCGAGAGCACCTGTGCTCAGGATCCAGCTGCACCTTCTGCCAACTTCTCCAGCTCCCTGGGGAGGGTCTAGCCAACTTCGATGCTGAAGTCCACTCAGCAGCTAACCTTGGCCCCAGGGATCCCCCACAACTACCCTGTCTCCCCAGGGCTGAGGGGCTGCCTGAGACCTGGAGCCTTCTGCCCTAGCCCCCCACCCCCACCCCAACGCCAGCCCGATGGGCACTTTTTGCGAGACCTCCCAGGCCACCACAGCACACTGCTGCAGGCAGGGGGTTACCTCCGCCTGGAAGCCCTCCACCAGAATGGCGACAAGCAGATTGAAGAGCACGTAGTTGCCAAAGGTCATGAGGGCAATGAAATAAAGAGCAGCCCAGGATGATGTGGAGGCCATCCCGTTGTAGAGCACCTTGTTCCAGTCCTCCTGGGTCAGGATCTGCGGGCCGAGGCCGGGGGTCAGCGCCTTCGCCAGGGGGCACCTCCCCCACCCCCGTCCACCCCTGCCCGGTTACCCTGGCACCTGAAAGACGGTGACGATGGCCCAGAGCAGGGAGTCAAAATTCTTCCGGTCCGGCAGCGTGTCCCCGTCCCGCTCCGATGCAAATTTGCAGCCAAAGAGATGCATGCCCAGGATGCTGAAGGCACAGGAGCCACAAGATGGGGGTCAGGGCAGCAGCGCCCCCTGCCCCTCAGGCCCTCCTCCCAGCCGGCACGGATGCCGCGCCTGCCCTCACCTGAAGATGAAGATGAAGAGCATGAGCAGCATGCAGAAGGTGGCCACGTTGTCCATGGTCTTCATGAGCACCACGAGCTGTCGCTGCAGCGCCGGCAGGAAGCGCACCAGCTTCAGCACCCGCATCAGGCGGAAGGTCCGCAGCACCGACAGGCCACCCCCCTGCTGGCCCACGATCTCCCACACGCTGCAAGGAGGGCAGGGAGCCTGAGCCCCTGCGTGCTCTCCCTCCCCTGCCCCTCCCTTCGAGAGGGCCTGGCAGCATCTGAGGGCCTGGACGAGCCCGCACGGCATGAGGAAGTGGGGCCCAGGTGGGCCCCTGGGCCTGCAGAGAGGAGCCCCTGAGATGGATGGAGGTGACAGCTCCAGCCCTCTCCACCCCTCCAGGCCCGGGATCACACCCTGGCAGCAGAGAACTCTCTCCCAAATTCCGGCCAATGCAACGGCATCCAGTTATGGAACATTTGCTTTGTTCTTGTCTAATGAAATCTAAAGCCAATTCCAGAAGCAATAAAGCAGCTCTCCTGGCCCCAGGCCTAGGGGGACGGAGCACTTTCCCAGGGTCTTAGAAACCCTAAAGCAAGTTGCGGGTGTCTGAGATGGTTTCCAAGCACTTTGCAAGCAGGGACAGCAGGCTGGGCCTCACACCTCCTTCAACTCCTCAGCAAAGCCAACTCCCCAGTCCTCACTCACCCCGGGCCTGCATGGGGTCAAGGGCAAGAAGTAGAGAGAGGAGAGAGGAGGCTGCACAGGGGTCCGGCCAAAGGAGACACGAGGCCAAATTCGGCCTGAGCAAGGTAGGGCCGAGAGAGGCTGGAGAGGATCACCCTCCACTGGGGGGGCGGGGGGAGCAGCAGGGCCTGGGGGCCGGGGGGGCCTGACTCCAGACCCCTCCACCCCGGAGGCACAGGTTGCGTGGCTTCTCGCCCCAGCCGCCCCGCGGGCATTCCTCCAGGTGAGAGGTGGTGGAGGGGCAGTCATACCTGATGACAACGATGACGCCATCGAAGATGTTGTAGGGGTTCTTGATGTAGCCAAAGGGACCGTACACCAGCAGCTTCAGCAGCATCTCCAGGGCAAAGAGGCTGGTGAAGACGATGTTGCTGATTTCCAGAGCGTTGGTCAGCTCCTCGGGCTGGAGGGCGGGGCGGGGGAGGAAGCAGCTGAGGCTCATCCCCGAGACCCTCATCCCTGTCCTCCCTAGCAGAGGGCCACTGGGAGACGAGCAGCAGGACTGGCAAGCTGGGGCTGGGTGGGCGGGTGGGGCGGGGGGCATGGTGGTGGGGGATGCTCAGGCATCGGAGAAGGACCCTCCCCCGAAGGGTCCATGAAGAAATGCACTCAGGGGAAGCCGCCACACCAAATCCCAGCTCTGGGTCTCAGATCCCCGGGGCCACAGGCTGGCGGGAAGCCTGAACGGTAGGTCCTGCCCCCCTCCCGCGAGGACCCCCGAGACCCACCTTGTCCTGTGCTGCCGTGTCAATTCGGCAGGCCGTGGCCGGCAGCCCAGCGACGCTGACCCACGTCAGAGGCTGATTGTCAAGGCCCCACCCGCGTCCCTAGACACACAACCACACGCAAAGGCACACGTGCTCCACGATTACTCCGTGGACTTGGCAGCCTTCTCCGGGACAACTGTCGGCTACGGCTGCTTCCTTCCAGACACATGCACACACTGCACACCCCCACACACTGCACATACAAACACACGTGCGCTCACAATCACACGAACAAGCAGACACACGCACGGACGTGCAAACATGCTGAGGGGCAGAAGGGAGACTCCTAGAAGGGTTGTCATAGACAAGGCGGCACCTGGAGCAGCTACCTGAGGCTAGGACACCTGGGTAAATTCCCAGCCTAGTCCCCGTCAACTCACGGTGTGACCTGCAGCAAGATTCTCAGCCTCTCTGGCCAGATGTAAAACACCCGCGGTAATTACTTCTATGCTTCTGCCCAGGGGCTGAGAATAGGACCGAGGACACATCCTAGAGAGGTCATCAGAAATGACAAACTTGGGGCACCTGGGTGGCTCAGTTGGTAAGCGTCTGCCTTCAGCTCGGGTCATGATCCCAGGGGCCTGGGATCGAGCCCTGTGTCGAGCTCTCTGCTCAGTGAGGAGTCTGCTTCTCCCTCTGCCTCTCCCCCCTGGCTTGCGCTCTCTCTCTCTCGCTCACTCTCTCTCTCAAATAAATAAAATCTTAAAAAAAAGAAGAAGAAGAAAAGAATTGACAAACTGGTGCTATTCCAGCTCACTAGTCACCTCCCCACCTTCCTTCTGTCAATATTAAGTGTCTACTGTATGCCCAGCAATGCATCAGATATTAAAGGAGCTACAAAAACATGCCCTCTATGCTTCCTGCCTCCCAGGAGCCCAGAGTCTCGCTGGAAACAGGTTGTACACAAAATAGCTGAATAACACAAGAGGCCTTAGATACTTAGATGCCAAAATAAATTATCCAGACAGTAAATCCAAGAGTCTAAGGGAGAGACCGTGAGGGAGGAACACACTGGGAAAGCCTTAGTCAGGAGGCCGCACTTGAAATGGACTCTGAAGGGTAAGTGGGGTCTCTCCAGGGAGAAGGGCGGAGAAGGCATCACAGGGTAGAGCACAAGGAATGAGCCATGTCTGGGGACAGAGAGAGGGGCAGGGCTGCGCTGAGGGCTGGAGATGCAGGGGGAGACATGGTTGGCTCAGTGGAGCCCACTGCCTACCTAATGGGGTGTCTCCATCCCCCAAAAGCCCAAGCTTCAAAGCAGCCCAAGAAGTTTGAGTTAAAATAAATAAGCAGATGAAGCCCTTAGTCCATCAGCCACCTCTCCCCTGTTTACCCAGCTGCCTCACCTGGCGGGTGGCCCAGGGAGGCCACCCAAGCATGGAGCCAGGCCTGGGCACCACCAAATGTATCCTAATGGTCTGACTTTGTGTGGCCAGCCTGGGTAGGAGGTGGGGAGACCTGAAAGGAAGGGCCTTCTGGCTGGCAGGTGAGGAGTGTTTGGGGGTCAATAGCTACTCAGAAGGAGAGAAGCTCTCAGCCTGTGCTTGGGTTCTTTCCAAAGGCAGGCCTGGAGGGCAGAACCAGGGTCAGCAGGCAGGGCTGAGAGCCAGCTGTGGGGGCCGGTGTGGCAAGGAGCTCATGGGTCCAGCAGATCTCAAGCAAATCCTTGCTCCCCAGACTGCAAGTGGGGGCTGGTGGGGGCACTGCCACCTGACCTAGTGAACGGGGTCACAGAGAAATAGGACCTTGGATCCCTCCAGCATTAGCACAGTGCAGGTGGTGGGGAAGGGGTCACTGTCAGGGCAGATAAAGCTCAGGGCTCAGACCCCTCCTAAGTGGATCTCCACTCTGTGCTCCCAAGTGCCATCTGCCAGGGAGCCATGGTCGGCGAGCCTGCCTCCCCGTCACCCTGCCACCTGCCCAGCTGTCCGTTCTTGGGTTGGATAAAGGTGATAAGCACAGACCGCACGGGTGCAGCGCTTGGTGGCTTCCCAGGCTCACCCTGTGTCTTACCTCACGCCGTCCACACGGCGGCCCCGGCACCTTCGCTTTACAGGTGAGCAGAAAGGTCAAAAGATGGTGAATGACCGGTTCAAAGTCACAGGGCAGGGACAACCAGGGAATGCGATCCAATCCCAGCTCATTCTGACCCTGATAATACTAGGCAGTAAGGATTCACACCCACCCCGCGTGACAGCAAGAGGCGTGTGAATCCCGACACACGGATGGACTGAACTCATAATGTGCTTTCCAAAGTACATAAAATTATATTTCGCATGAACTTAGATGTATGAATAAAGAACACGTTGATCTGAAAACACAGCCGAGGTGCACTTACAATGGGTGAATATTACGACATGTAAGTGATGCCTCAAAAAAAAGGGGCCAAAAATAAAAATTGATAAAACGTTTTTTAAAAAAGTAGCTGAAAGCACGGTAGCTTTTGGTATCTCGAACTGACTCCATCAGTGACTCTTAGAAGCACACCCAGCGCTGGGCATGTGGGGTGGGTGGGTATTCCCGGCATTTCCTGATGTCATCCAAGGGGGTCGCAACAGTCTGTTCCTGATGGCTCTTGGCTCATGGACACCTGCTCATCGACCGGGAGCCTCATCAGAAAGATAGCACAGGGCTCCCCCAGGGTTTGCATCGTCAGTCCTGGTTGAGGGGGTGACAGCAAAGGCTGGGGCCCCCACCTCACCCCTCCAGGCAGCTTTGGGACTGGAGGAGCAGGGGGAAAGGAGAACGGGGCACTGTCCCTCAGCCTGCCCTCCACACCCCCCCCCCGCACACTCTCCCTGCACACACCTAAGGGCAATGCCTATTTCCTCCCAGGGCCCCGGTATCCCCTCATAATCCATGGGAAAAGGCACTCCTCCCCGAGACAGGTCTGCCCAAGGTACTAGATTGGAGGCTGGGAATGTTCTGCAAATGCAGGAAGAGGACACAGAGACACAACTTAGCAACACGGTTGCCCCAGGGACCAGAGCCGTGATCACAGCCGCTGCGGCAGCAAAGGGGAGGGAGCCAACTTCTGCGAGGCCCCTCCCGGGGCGCGCCAATGGCTGATCCCTCCCTCCCAGCATTTCATTTCCTCGCAGCGTCCGAGACAGCCAGGTAAACTGAGGCTCCGACAGGTGTGGTAACATGATGGAGCTGCTTAGGAAGGTATGAGCAAGGCCCGCACCTTCCCTTGCATCTTCCCATGATGCGCACGGCCACCCCCCCCAAGAGAAAACCCATGCAGCTGCACACAGACCCGACAGCTGGGCACCAGCCCCCTCTCTGACTCGCTCGGGCAGCCAGCAAGTCCCTTCTCAGGTCTGGACCGTATCCTCCCTTCTGTTCACAGACGTCAAGACCCCTGAGCTTCTCCCACCTGGGGGACCCAGGCTCTTCTCTGGGAGGATGCTAACTGTAAATGCCCCATCTCCCAACACTCCCCCTCCCCTCAGCCTGTCACCTTGGAGCAACTGTAGCCCCCCATAAGCTGCTCCAGACTTCTCAGCACCAGGACTCCCCTGAAACCCATCGCCCCTCCAACGACCAACCCTTAACGGGCCCACTGTGCACAGCACCCTGGCGATCAAAGCGTGGGGTTAAACCAGAGTGTGGGAGGCCTGCCAACTCTGAGACTCTCTACCTGTGTGACCTTGGGCAGGTCCCTTAACCTCTCTGATCCCCAGTGGCCTCTTCTGCTAAACAGGGTAGCATCACCTCATGGCCAGGCTGCTCTGCAGAACACAGCAGTTAAAGACCATGAAAACACCCAGCCAAGAACCATGCTCGGCAGCCCCATGGGCACTGACAGTGGAAGCGGACCGTACACGTGGCAGGCGGAACACCTGCAAGGCTGCACCAAGCACCACGCTGGGGCAAACCCCGGGAGCACCCCAGGAGCTCAAAGCCAGCTGAGACCAGTGTCAGTGAGGAGAAGAGCCCCGTGGAGGGCATCCCCCGTGGAGGGCAGCATGGGCAGAGGTGCAGAGGAAGGAATGCACGGGGACCAAGAATCCAGTGGTTCTCTCAGGTCAGAGGGTAGGAGGGGTCCATGGGGGACACGGCTGCAAGGTGGGCAGGGCCCAGGCAGGATGGCCTGGACTCCGCTCCACCACCCGGGCTGGACTTGCCTCTGCTCACAATGCCGCTCCTGGGGCTTCTGGGGCTCGGGAAGAGATGTGCAGAGCGGCGTATTAAGATTCATCTGACTGCAGTGCAGCATGCTGATGGCATGGAGAGACGGCGAGTTGGAGACCGACTAGGGGCAGACTGCAGTGGTCCAGGCAGGAGGCCTGGGAGCTGGCTCCGGCACACAGGGAAGGCGAGAGGGGTGGACGAGCCGGGCGACCACGGAGCAGAGGCTCGTACGGGTCACCCCAGCCCTGCCCCCTCTTCTCCTCAGCTCCCACAGCTCTGCTGACCTGGAAATCTCTGCTGCCCAATTCTGACTCCTTGGTTCACTTCACCTCGGCTTTTGACAGTCTTGCCTGCTGCACCGTCACACCCCGGAGGGGAGGTCCAGGCCGGGCCACAGCGATGGGGTAAGGGTCACCGGGACCTCTTCCCCCCTCCTCCTCCTCCTCCTCCTCCTCCTCCAAGGGCAATCAGGAGACACCTGGGGGGCAGGTGGTTTCAA